CCAGGCCCATCAAGCCCCATCTGGGCCAGGAAGGAGCTGTTTTTCCAGGAACTGCATCTGCACTGTGGCCATTGCTGCCTGGCACATGCAGAAGTGTTGCCGGAGCACTCCCATCCCTTGCCCCTCATCCCCAGCCCCACTGCAGCACCTTGGTGGCACCCAGTCCTGAAGCCATGACCCAGGGAAGAGCATTTCCAAAGCCTGTGGTCTCCAGCTAGCCATCCTGGCCAGGGGGCACCCTGAGCAGCCCTCCTGCAGCAGACCCACAAAGGGCTGCCTGAATCCTGCACCCAGGAGAGACTGAGCAGGGAGGGACGGCATCATCTGCCCTCTCCTCCTGCAGACTGCCCCCCTAGATGCTGCCAGTGTCCCTCACCAAACCAGCACCATGTCCCTGCATGTGGGGAGCAGCAGAACTTACCCTGAAGGCTTCTGTGGAGGGCTCCTCGCCCTTGCTGTTTGCTACAGGAGCAGGGTCAAGGGATGGAGTGGGCGCTGGGGCTGCCTTCTCCTCCTCCGCAGCCTGGCCGGCAGCAGCGGGTTTTGTGGTCTCAGACATCGCGGTGTTGGGCTCTCGTCTGGGACAGAGCACCAGGACAAGGTGCAGCAGCAGGTCAGAGGGGAGGCACAGATGTGGGCAACCACCACCTGCCCTGGCCCTTGCCCTGCCCCCGGGGATGGTCACATCAGGATGGGGAGCTCAGAGGCCAGGAGAGGAGCTGCCGGGAGGCTCTCCAGAGGTGGAGCACAGGAGGTCACAGCTATCCACACTCTCCTGCAGTCCGGAGAGCCCTGAGCACAGTCCCACCACCCAGTCTCTGCCTGCTTTCCCCAGCTGGGCCAGGGCCTGATGCTGCACCTGGGGATGTTCCACACGGTGTGTGCCTGGGAGCCCAGCTGGGAACCAGGGCAGCTCATGAGGGGGTGGCAGGGGACAGTCCTGCTTTGCAGAGAGGCACTCCAGTGGGCACCTTGCCAGTGGCCCCACAGGCCACCAATGGCTGCCAGGGGAGCAGAAGGCAGTGGGATGCTGAGCACCAGGATGCTCCCAGACATAATGGCCACAGCAGCAACCACAGGTGGGGCCCGTTTCGGGGCGCAGCAAGGACCCCACTTTATAGCCTGGCAAGGGCAGACCCCCGGGCGGGCGCACAAAGGAACCGCCAGCTCATCAGTGTCTGTGCGGCCGCCCAGTCATCACATCCTGCAAAGCGCTGGGCGAGCTGGAAGCCTCTCCCCGGCCCCGTGCCCAGCCGCTGAACCCAGCACTTTCCTTTGTGCCCGCGGCACAACAGAAGACCTGACCGTGCCACTTTGCAGCGCGCGGCGGCCCCCGTGGGGCAGCCCCGCCAGGGCATATAAAGCCCTCGGGCCGGGACCTGCCCTCCCGTGCCCGCCGCCCGGCACCGGCCCCGGCGGGCACCAGCTCCAGGAGGGTGCATCAGTTGCCCCGTGCACGGTGCCCGGACCCAGGGCTGGATGGTGCTCGTTTCTCCCCTCTAAACACCAAATTTCTTGCTTCAAACATCACTCCATACCCGCGAACGCCTGAGCGAGCTGCCCTGAAGATGCCAGGAGGCAAAACTCAAGTGTTTTGAGATGCTTCAGGGGTTGGGGTTTTTTTCCCAACTATGGGTAATCAAAGCTGACACTTTGTAAACCATCTCAGTCCCTGACAGTGATGTCCTTTTTCAAGGATGTCCCTGCTCACTGTGCTCACTGGCATGGGCTTTAGCCAGTTTTCAGTCTTTAATCTCTGCTGTGCCCATCCTGTATCATCCCTCACTTTTCCATCACCACACAGCATGATACCAAATCCCATGGGTTGGTGCACCAGTGCTGCCTCTGGCAGGGGGCAGCTGGAGGGGCAGTGGGTGGCTGGTGGGGACACGCTGGGCACCAGTCCCTGTGGTGGCTCTGCTCCCAGTGCTGTGCCTCCTGCACTCCCTGGCTGCTCTGCCCCCAGGATGCACCTCAGGGGGACCTTTCCCTGGCTCCCATCGAGTCCACCCTCAGCTGCTCTCCCTATTTGCCTGCTGTCATCCTGTTCATCGTGTAAATCCCTGCACCCCTGTGTCCCCCCAGCCCTTTCCAATACCCAGAACTCCTGATCTGGCCCGTTGTCATTGGCAGCAGTAAATCACCAAAGGATGCTGTGTTCAGAAAGCTCAGAGCCCTCAGTTTTGAAGACATCCTCAGTGAAGTGTCAACCAGCAGTGGTGGGATCCAGCTGCACCTTTCAGGCTATTGCCCAAAATCCCAAGCAAAAAGCATTTATTGATCCCTTCTTTTCCCACAGTTTAGGGCAGGCTGTGCTGTGCACGCAGGCATGGCTGGGGCAGGTGCTGCTGCCCCCTTACCCTGGGCCCCTCCTGCAGTCTGGTCGCTCACCTTGATGCTGGGCAGCTCTTTATGATCCCTGCTTTTTGAAATACATTTGTTTTCATGTTTATTGGACAGATTTCTGTTTTAAGCTGCATTCTCTTCTTCCTGAGCCATGGTGGTTTTTTAACCTTGGTGCCTCACTCGTGGCTCCTGGGCATCAACCAGCAGGTCTCACCCACCCCCCAGCCTGATCCTGCCTCCACTTTCCCCCCAGCTCCCAGCATTTTTGGACTTGGATGTTGGAAAACCGTGCTGGGAGGGACTGAGCCCCCCAGACATGACATCTCTGGCCTCCCCACAGAGCACCCCTGCCACTGGCTGCAAGTGGGATGCCCCACAGACCCCCCCTGCCACTGGCTGCAAGTGGTCTGGAAAGCCCCTTGCTGCACTGTTGGGTCCTACCCCAGCCCCTCACTACACTGTTCCCCCCTCTCTGCTCTTCCTGGCCTCAACACGTGGGATTCACAGCTCAAACACAGCGAAGAGCTGCCCGTGCCTCGCTGCTGGTGCAGATGGTTGGAGCTGACCCAGCCTGGCAGGCACAGGCCTGGGCACATGCCCAACATCAGGAGTTTGTTCTGCCCTGGTGAGTCCTGGCACACGTGGAGTTCCCGCTGCTGCATCCCTGCCCAGGCTTCCCGCGAGCGGGGCAGGTCCCGCAGTGCCGGTGACTCGCGGCCGCGGCAGCGAGCTGAGCTCAGCTCAGGCCGCTGTGAGAGCCTGGGGGCCACTTGTGCCGGACACACACTTGTTGGGGGCTGCGGATGTGGGGGCGGCACAGCCCCACTGCGGCCAGGAGCGTGGGCTGCGTGGGGGCTCCCCCGGCTGCTGCCCCCCCCGGCTCACTACCTGGGTGCTACTACACGGGTTTTGCCACCCGGCCCCACAGCCTCCTTTGCCTGCAGCCCCACTGCTCCCCGCTGCAAGGGGCAGGCTGCCTGGGTCTCTCTACAGGGTGTCCAGCCCTCTGAGACCTGCACCTCCCAGCATGAGCACGGGACAATTATTTTTTTTTTTGGGGGGGGGGGAGCAAAGCTTCAAGGTATTTAGGCACCCCAGGTTGCTGCACACAGAGGCAGGAGGCTTTTGCTGCACTCCCTGTGCCTTGGTCTGCCTCTTCAGCGCCTCTAATGCCTTTGCAAACCTGCCTCTTGCTTTCCCCTGCTTGCTGCAATGCCTCGTGGTTGCTGTGTGCCCAACTTGCAGAAGAGCTGCCCCGGCTTTTGGGACAGGTGCTCTGCCCGAGCAAGGAAAGCAAGCACTGCCACAAGCAGAGATGCATCTTTCCTCCTACATCCCAGAAATGCAAGTGAGGAATCCTCCTCATGTCCCCCGCTGAAACACAGGGCAGGCAGTGCTACCCACAGGCAGGAGGAATGCTGCCCAAGCTGGGGGCATGGCCCCAGCCCAGCACCATGACATGGCAGGAGCTCTGACAGACCCCAGGAGCAATGTCCTGGCTCCAGAGCTGCAGGGCTGGGGGGCAGAGCCTCTGCCCGGTGGGCTGGGGGAGCGGGAGTCGCAGCCTCCCGGCTCATCAGCTTCTCTGCAGCATCGCCTTTGTTCTGCCCGGTCCCTCCTCCCCGCCATCTGCTGAGTTAGGGGTTTCAGTAATGCTCCCCTGGGCTCTGTCTCTATCTGGAGGCTATAAAAACCCAGCCAGAGGGCTGCTGGGCATGTCACCTCCCGGGCACCAGCACCTCACCCCAGGTAAGCGCAGTAGCCTGGCGGCAGCTGCCCCTACCCCTCATGGCTGGGTCCTATGAGCAGAGCCTCCGTGGGGACATTGGGAGGAGGAGCCAAGACTGGTCGTGTGGCATGGCATGACATGGCATGGCATGGTGCGGGGGTTTTGGGGTCCTGCAGCCGGAGCACGAGGCAAGGGCTGCTGCTGGGGACAGGCTGTGGCCCTGCTCTGCTGTCATACACCTTGGCATAGGGGGACAGTGGCCAGGGGACCAGGGGCATCACTGGCCATGGCAGTGGGGCAGGTGCTGCTGCTCAACATGGGCACGTGGCCATCTCTGCAGAAGTCCCAGCTCAGTGCTGCCCCGGCTGCAGCCCGGGAGCCATCACAGGGATGTGGGCACTAGGGTTGCTGGCATGGGGACTTTGTCTCGGGGACCTGCACACAGCAGGAGGAACCTCCCCATGTGTGCAGGCAGTTTGCTCAGCCTGCT